TGGATATGTATTCCTGGACCAGGAAAGAAGCTGTTTTATATAATGGAATAATCCTTGGTGTGGTTGGTATTGAATCAGTTATTGTTTTCATGGTGGTGAAAACACTTTCTAAAAAGTAAGTTTATCAGAATTTTGTTACTTTTATTAGTTAAGTCTGAAAACATTTAGAACAAGACCAAATCTGCATTATTTAAGTCTTTTACTAGTCTAGGAGTTTTGTATACTATGAGAACGAAGTACTTGTGATTTTGATACAGCTGTGATGCTGTAATTGTTCTTTATCCTTGTAGAAAAACACTCTCCCTCATCTGTGTTTTACCCTATTATCCAAAGAAAAACAAGTTTAAGTTAGTATGCTTTGGCTGCTTTTAATATGTTGACACTAGAACATTTTTTTGTTGCAGGTGTTTTGATCTGGCATTTCTTTCACAAACTAATAGGCTACAGTGTAGATGGCATCTTCAGGAATTTTACTTGTCATATTTCAACAGTTTTATTTACATTTTAGTTTAATGATACGAATATAGTCCAAAGTATTTTGTTCCTAGCATTTTTTAGATACTAAACCATGACCATGGGTGTAAATGATATATTTAATTACCATTTCACTGTTTGATAGAACCGGTGAGCGTGCTCTACTCCATGGAGGCTTAATGATTGTCTTGGTCGGATTCTTTATTTTACTGCCTTGGGGGAAAAAACTACCAAATATCCAATGGCAAGGTATAATTGAAGCTGTACTAAACTGTAGTCGTAATGTTATCTTGAAAGACTTTTGTTGCATTTTTTTAATCACGTATTGCTTGCTTTTACAGAAATAAAGAATAATTCCATTCCAAGGACAACTTTCAGTGAAATGTTAATGCCTTTGTGGAGTCTGGAAGCGACGCAGCTTTCATCCAACCACACTGCAGAACCCACGGGCTGCCCTGTCTCCCAATCCTGGTGCCTGAACACTCCAAAGATCTATCTGGCCCAGTATATCAGCTCTGATGTACTAATAGGATTGGGATATCCAGTTTGTAATGTCATGTCTTACACTTTATACTCTAAAATTCTAGGCCCAAAGCCTCAGGTAAGCGTGAAACCTAAATGTTTTTTTTCATTTGTTCTCCAGTACTTGTGGCCTCTTTATTCGGGTGAGGGATCTAGCTAAAATAGCTTTTGTCATTAGCAAAACAATAGTAAGCTTCAATAATTGCAGAAGCTTTCAGGAATTCTAACTTGCTCTTAAAGTCCAGGGCAAGACCCTAGCTAAATTAGAAAACAAGAATTATATACTGCTTATGTCAAATCTTATAGCATGTATATTTCAGAACAATAGCCCAAAGATTCTGAAATTTTTATGAGAGTTTTGTAAGTCATTTTGTAACAACTGATTTTATATTGGGAATATGATGACAGAAGAATATTGTCCTTAATAGCTGTGCTATGAAGAACATGAGTGAAGGCAAGTATCTATTAAAGTTAATTGAAACTAAATTTTGGTAGGAACTGGGAAGCTTTTATTTCTGTTATGATACTTCCAATTGACCTTTTGGAGCAGTGAAACACATATTGAGTAAATAATACTGCTTGACAGAAGAAAAAAAAGCTTCCTTTTCCTCCACTTACCCTTTTGCCCATGTGTTGTATTTTGCTGTAGAAGACAAAATACTTTGAGCCAGAATGCCTCTTTGCTAGAAAGCTGTAGTGTATAGCACAGTGTGTAGAGTATATAGCACCGTGGAGCCTTAATCTGTGAGTAGCATGTTCTGTCTGATGCAATTCAAGCTAATGCTTAAAGAAGGCAGGTAGTACTCTTGGAAAATAATCTTAACAGGAGCTAAGAAAAATAAAAAATTGCTTAAACATTTCTGAATGTTCGAATCAGTATGACTGGTATTTGTTTATTAAGTAACTGATTTATTCCTGTATCACTAATAGCAGCTTTTGCTCTTCTGTAGGGTGTCTACATGGGCTGGTTAACAGCCTCGGGAAGTGGAGCACGGATACTTGGGCCTGTATTTGTGAGCCAAATCTACACTCACATGGGACCACGCTGGGCATTTAGCTTAATCTGTGGTATAGTTGTACTCTCTCTCTTAGTCTTGGAGATAGTATACAAAAGACTAATTGCCTTTTCCATCAGATACGGAAGGATGCAAGAATAGTTTATTTGTGTATTTTAAAAAAAAAAGGAAAAGAAAAAAAAATAAACATACTGTGTTTCTATGTTTATAATGGGGAGTGCCTAAACACTGACCTTCTTAGCTGTATGCTAGGCATTATAGTTGTACTTACATATTGACTGAATACGTAGCTTGGCCGTACCCTAATACGCTGTTACATCTATGTCAATACAGCTCTTGCATTCTGCTTTTCTAGCAGGAGAGGAAGGAGTATGAACAAGCTGAATAAGTACAGTAGCACATTTGAAGTGTGCACAGTCTAAATGACACATCTGTGTGCTGAATCACAGCTGTGAAGGTCACAGGTTAAGTACATCCTTTTCAGAAAGAAGTAAAAGAAAACTTATCTTGATTCTGTGAATCTAGATTATTCTTGTAACTACAAGATTAGTTGAGCTGTATGCACTTTGTATGAAAACATGGCTGCTTAAGTAAGTGAACATTTGGATGTTCAATTTGCTAATTTGTAAGCAGTGATTCATACAAAAAGACCAACTTTGGAAACTGTAAAATATCAAGAAAACTCCAGGATTTTAAACAAAATGAGACTGTGGGAATTTTAGAGGAAGGTAAGTGTCTACTCAAGTAGTTTGTGTGAGGTTTGGATACTTAAGTGGGTTAAAAGCCTGTGGAAGGGGAAAAAAAAAAAAAAGTAAAAGCTGTGACTTTCACTTGAACTGCAGTAAACATACAGTTTTTCTTCTACAGTATTGCTGAATGCCCTTTATAATAAAAAGTACCATCTGCACAGAGCTAAATTATGCACAACCTTTCTTAACCTTTCTACAAGAAAGAACTACCATCCCTGATAATCTCTTATACTTTTGATATCACTGGGGGAAATGAATACTCTCTGCTATCTGAGCAACCAGTGCTAATGTTAATTAAGTAAAAAGGGAGAAATTTTTGGCTCCTTAGGTGTTTATTACCCATAGATTTAAATTCCTGATAATAGCATAAGAAATGGGAATGGATAATATTTGAATCACTTAATATTTATTTTTAAAAATGTATGTTTTTCTAATACAGGGGCCTAAAGTGATCTGTGTGGGTTTGTCTTTTTGGCACTATTGGGGCCAGCAGGAAAGCCTTGTGGAAATAACTCCAGCACATGAGCTGTAGCTGCTGTTTAACATGTCCAATACTTGATGCTTATTGAGTTTGTGAAATGTAAATAAATATTATATATCTAATCAAATGTTGAGACACTAAAGACCACTGAATAAAAGCCTATTTTTAATTCTGACTAAAGAGAATGTGGAAGTTTATTTCCTTTGTGATTTCCACCTGCATAGTGAAAACTTACCATGAGAAAGAATTGTTTTTAATTTCTTGCAAGAAATAGTTGTAAGCATTTCTTCTATATGCTAGGTAATAGTGAACAGTACCAAGAATGCTATGTGTTGGTAGTTGGTGATTAAAAACAGATCGTAAAAGCAAGTACAAAAGCACTTGCTGTAAAAGCAAGTGCTACAGCTTATAAAATTACTTTGGGCATTAGAAATCTGAACTCATGAAAGTTATTGCTTATTCACTGTGGATTATAGGTTCTGATTCTGGAAAAAAAGAGGTCTTGTGAGCCAAAGGTAGAGCTTTTAGTGTTGTCTTCTGGTTAGCATGATAATGCTGTAATTGCACTTAGTTTTACTGTTTATGCAGCAAATGAGCTGAGGGATTACCTAAACATTTATACCCTTCTACATTGTGGTATAGACCTCTAGAGGTTGGTTCTCAGCTATGTGTAAGGCTTGAGATTGCAGGTAAGGAATTTGATTGTATTATGCCTCAAATAAAGGTATTGGCTGCAAGGGGTAGTTTTTTAAGCATATATGCTTTTGCTTGCCTTGTCAAAAATTGACTTAGTCCTTCACAAAAAGGCAAGTGGAAACTATGGTAAAGGTTATGGTTATATGCATGCATATACATACATGTATACACTTATGTAAGGGGAGATAGGCTGCCTTGGTTTAATCAAAGACATGTAAGAGGATGGCAAATGAGTTAACTTTAAGTGCAGCAGATGATGTTTACAAAAAAATCTGTCACTTAGAATAGGTCAATAAAAAGGACTGTAAGGGAAGGCATAATGTATAGATGAAATAGCTAAGGCTGCTGATATTTCTGCAAGAAGGGTTGGAGGTAGTTTTCCCATCAGCTGATCTAACTTTGATAAGCTCTTAGCTAGAAAATTGTAAATATAAAGCAGTAGCTTTTCAATTCAGACTTTTGTTTTTCTTTGGGCAGAGTTTATGCAGCAAATCTCTTCTTATTCCCGAACTTCACCCATCCTTAGAATCCCATGACAAGATACTCAGTGAGATTAGATCAGCTCTGACAGATAAACTTTTATACTTAAAGGAAAAGGCTCTCAAACCATCATTTGATTATGAAATCAACCAATAGATATGAACAATTACCACTGCATTTATTTTTTTATATATAAATGCCTGTGCAGGGAAGTTAAAAGCTGCTGCTACAAAAATAAACATAAAAACAGCTATAAAACATATACATATTTACATATATTACTTGTAAGACGTAAAAATACAAGTTATTTACAAGTACAAACACTTCAACAGCACAGACGCCTTCTGTCCTTGATTGTTGGCAGAGAGTGAGCAGTGGGGGAAGAAGAAAAAAATGTGTTTAGAAAATTTCCAAAATTTGAGGTTACAGTTGCTCAAAGTTTCACTTCAGCAATTTTTTTCATCCCTATAAAGAAAAGATGTTTTTTTTTCCAGCAATTGGCAATACATAAAGCAACCCTCCCCTTCCTAAGTTTTACCAACTTTAAGAAGAATTTCTTGATAGTTGAGTAAAATCAGTCACTTCACTTGAATGCTAGTGAGTGATTTTATTAAGCCGTCACATCCAAAGACCTGCTTTGCTTTTAATTAATGGGAACCAGCTGGATTGGTAAACATCACAAGAATAGAAGACAGGCAGTGCAACTTCTCTTTTATGTATTCTGGCAACTTATCATTTTCTCCATACCTAGAAAGGCAAAGAAGAACACAAGTTAAGTGCTTTTAAAAGCAGTTGATTTGACAAAAATCAATGGCATTTTTTTCTCAAAACTGGCTGTGAATGGGGAAAAACTACTACATTATAAATACAGTGGAGCTATAAATAAAGTACAGCTTGATGGCCTAAGTCCAGATCCCTCTTCCCAACAGCCATTTAACTGAAATAGTACTTAAGATTAAAAATGTATACATTTTTTAAAAAGGGCTAAATAGACTGTATATTACAATGTCACAAATGTAGCCAGAGAAGTGTCCAGTGCCCAAAGCACTTCAAAAACCTGACCCAACACCAGCACATCTATGCATCAGTTATGTGATTATCTGCTAGCCCATTCCACCTAAATTCTCAGTATCCTAAAGAATTTTAAAGTCTCCTTTGAGTATTAAGACCTTAATTGACAGCCTCTCATTTCTTTTAAATACTGTACATAAAAATAGCTATATTATACACATCAAGTAGCGGTTTCACTCACTCTTTTTTCTTCATTTGTTAACCAAAGTTCAATAAAAAACATTAAGCGATTCTTCGTTAAGTTTACACAACTTTTCTGCAACTTCTTAGCTGGTTAGTTTAAGTTTTAATAGTTTTAAAAAGATGGATGAAAAGCCATAATAGTTTTTCATCTATGATGGCAAAGGCTTAAGAGTCTTATATTGAAAAAAAGTATGTATTTTAATAGCAGTAATAGGCTCACCTGCTTGTCTGGCCATCTGGAGATGTGTATGTGATAGAAGAAACACCTGCTTGTGCTACCAGTTGGGATCCATCATTAAACTGAACCCATACTGCTCCACTGGTCAGCTAGGAAGAGAAGTTGCATTACAGTTTGAGGACTTAGAATACAAGAGGACACCTCTGGAATTGTTCTAAGAACTGAAGCTGAGCCTTTTCAGAATTGAAATGACTTTGCTGTCTAGGTCAGTCTTTAAATGATTAAGATGGTACATGTACTGCTTTCAAGTGAGCAGTAGTCTTGGGATTGAGTCCAGCTTCCCACTGAGCTTTAATCATCTTTTTCAAGAGAGTTAAAACTTCTCTAGGAGCTTTTAAAAGTCCTTCTGTATTTAAGTAGTTGAGGGTGAATTAGAAGAACTACTTTGTGGCAGTTCACAGCTACATACATTTTAAAATTTTATGTAGTTTCATAAACTGTAGTTTCTTCTTCTGCTAGAATAAAAAGGTTATTTTAACTATATTAGAGAGAAATTATCTTCTAAACTTTAAGAAAGCAGGAAAGATTTTTTTTTAATAGATAAGCAGGGTTTCCTGTCAAGTAAGCAGATATCATCATCTTGCACAAGTTGGTGTAGTTGTTAAAAACATCCTGCCCCAGCACTTTTGCTTTTAGAGACTTCTGTCCACTAATCTAGCAGTTTTAGTTTCTACTAGATTCAGGTTAAAAAGAAGGAACTGAATAGGCAATAGTAATTACAGTAAATTTGTGATAAAGAGAACTAAATAACTGAAGAGTTATTTTGTTTTTTTACTTATGTATTCATATTACACCATGATATTATCTTACTCCCTTATTTGGGAGGATCTTTCCACCTATCTACTTTCAGATTAAACTGTCTTTAAACATCATGTGTAAGCAATGCATTAAGTTAGGAATTTAAAAGTTATATATCTCAAGTTTAATAGGTAAAGTGAAGGGACTTTCTTGCATCATCATTATTTGTTACTCACCTGAGAAGCCCAACCGACATTTTTCACAAAGACAGATTTTAAAAGTTGGGCCGAATTAGGACTGCATTCCTTTTGATGAACAGAAGAGCATGTCTTTTCAGTAACATTAGTCATAAATGTAGACTTTTCATAAGATACCACCTAAAACAAGGAATGCACAATATTAGCATCTATAATACAAGCCCCAATTGATCATGTACTAAGGTTTTCCTTTTTATTTTAGATCTTCTTGTATGTACCACGAAACAGTCTGTATGCTTTTCCTATTCTAAACTTAAGAATTACAGAGGATGAAACAGTGAAAGCCTTTAGGGAAACCAGGTATGCAAAAAAAAAAAAAAAAAAAAATCCACCGCTCAGGTATCTCTTCTAACAGATAAAGCAGATGAAATCATGTGCTTAGTGATGTTTAAGATTCACAGTTCAGTAAGGAGATGCAAGTCAGAGGCGATGTCTGAAATAGCTTGGTCAGGAAAGAAAGATAAATCTAAGCAACTATAGGAACCACAAAGGAGAAAGCAGCTGTGCCTCAATACACAGTTCATGTATAAAGAAACTGACAAACGTGATTAAGAGTGACATAGAAACAGGGTATTGTGCTGTTTTCTCTTGTAATACCTACCACAAGGGAAAATACACAGTGGTTTCTGAAAAGCTTGGAAAAACATTAGTGTTTGCTCTATGGCAAAGAAGAATGAGTCTGAACACTGAATACTCAAATTTGACCTCTGGTGAAGTTAGACAAAATCTGACTTGACATGGCTGGTCACTATGCTCACAAAAGGCTAATAAGCTTAAGTCAGTAGAAAATAATTCCATTAATTTAAATAAAACAGTAACATTTGAATTCCTATTGATCATTAAACCCACTATCTGTCCCAGTGAACTTACAGGAGTAATGTTTGGAGTTTGAACTGCATTGGAACTGGCAGCTATATTTCCATCCAGTGCCATAACTTCTTTTGTACAGTTTGCAGCATCTAATGATGGAGGTGCTAAAGCTTGTGGCGATTCAGTGTTGCCAGGTTTTCTGGGAAGGAGGAGGAAAAAGAAATTAGGAAAAGACCTTTGTAAAAGACAATCAAGAAAGGAAAAGTGAGGCAGCCTAGCTTTTCTTTTAATTACAAGCTGTATGAGGCACTTGATAGCACTACTCTTCTGCAGACATCAGTTTTTGTACATGCTAATTAAGTGTGGGATAGATGAGTGGACAGTGAGGTGGATTAGGAACTGGCTGGATGGCAGAGCTCAGAGGGTGGTGATCAGCGGTGCAGAGTCTAGTTGGAGGCCTGTAGCTAACGGGGTCCCCCAGGGGTCAGTCCTTGGCCCAGTCCTGTTCAATTTATTCATCCATGACCTGGATGAAGGCACAGAGTGCTCCCTCAGCAAGTTTGCTGATGACACGAAACTGGGAGGAGTAGCTGATTCCCCAGAGGGCTGCACTGCCATCCAGAGGGATCTGGACAGACTGGACAACTTTACACTTATTATAGGCCTGAGAAAATCAGCAGTACCTTCAGCAATATCAATAAGAACTACGAGGCTTTGTATTACTTTGTATTTCTTAGCATTTTTTGGAGAAGATGGAGAGGAAACCATACCTCGTACTATGCTGAAATTGGGCAAATCAAAGACATCAATCTGGAAGAAGTGCTGAGAGAAAGATGTTATGGTGCCCTAAGTGCTGTGTTGATTTTAGTTTCCAACCAGGCACAACTGAAAGCTGGGCCTGTTCAGCCTGGGGAAGAGAAGGCTGAGAGGGGATCTGATCAGTGTCTATAAGCACCTCAAGGGAGGCAGTGAGGAGGATGGTGCTGGCCTCTTTTCAGTGGTGGCCACTGATAGGACTAGAGGAAATGGCTGGAAACTGAAGCATCAAAAGTTCCACAGGAACTTAAGGAAAAATTTCCTAACAGTGAGGGTGCCAGAGCACTGGAACAGGCTGCCCAGAGAGGTTGTGGAGTCTCCTTCTCTGGAGATCTTCAAACCCCCCTTGGATGCAGTCCTGTGCCACGTGCTCTAGGTGACCCTGCGTGTGCAGGGGGGTTGGACTAGATGATCTCTAGAGGTCCCTTCCAACCCTAAGCATTCTGTGATTCTATGTACAGACTTGTTCAAGCTGCTAGTCTCAATTCACAAATTTGTCTTTGCCTCAAAGAAGGGTTTGCAGACCTAAAACTGGGTGCTCATGTAGACTGTCAAGCTCATGATCTTTCTAATAACTGCAAGCTTTAATTAGGCAGCCCTGGCAGAAAGCTGTTTAGTAGGAGTATTCAAGTATCTAAATATCTAGAAGGCACAATATTACCTTCCAACTTACCTTCCAACAATTATTGGAAAGAAGGGAACACTTTCACTCCTTTTTTCTTCTTCTAAAACAGCAGATTCTAATGCAAGGCAGATACGATGTCCCTGGAATTAAAATGAGAATGTTACAGTGTTTAATTGAAAAACAATTCAGTGACAAGTGAGCCTGCACAAGGACATGCTTTCTTTGATAGCAGTAAATACTGATATAATAGTAAATAGTGATAATAGAGACTCAAGAGCCATGAAGGTGATCCAAAGAGCTATACCAGAGCAAGATATCCCCCATAACTTCAGCACATCAGTGTTTATGCTCATAAACATATCCCCTCACCTTTTAATAGGGCACTAGGAGTCCCCCGACTGATGTTCCAGAAGGAACAGAAGGAAGGATGAATAGGAAATTTATAGCACTTTTTTTTCCTCCCTCTAATTTTCAGCTTTTCAGACATAATACTCTTGTGAATGCTAACTGGACAACGTGAAACATGAGAAATGTGTAGCAGGTTGTCTGGTCCATGAACAAATGGCGATATTTTTTAATTATTTAAAACAGCTCTATGTGCTGATTTAATCCCTTCACCAAACAGGCAGACTTGAAAACTTATTCTCTAGAGGCTTCAATGTAAGGGAATATTATCTCTACACTGCTATTTTTTTTTTAAGGACAAAGAAAAAACACAATATCACCCCTCTTATCACTAAGATCAAAAATATAATGAAAAACAACTTGGAAGCACTTTTGTGAAAGAAAACCCAAGTTTACAGAAGGTTGCTTTCTGCTTAAAATGTCCTACATAAAGCCACTTACCTCATTTGCATGATCCATATATACTTGTATTTCCTTTTTTACACTTGCTTCACTTTCTCCTTTCAAAGTGAAGGACTTCCCTGATTTTTCAATCACACGAGTTATACCAGCTGTCTTGTGTATCTTTGCTCCTATAAAAGAGTTTTAAATCAAACTTGTGTACAGTATCAGTAAATAAGAAATATAGATTTCTGCCATTGCATTCTAGCAGAACAGGTATTACCAAGGTAGTAATTATTGCAAGAATAAAACCACTGCTAGATGAGTTCTGTTTAGCAGAAACCCAAGGGTAATTAAACTGGAACTGTGATTTTAATGGAATGCAAGAGAAGACTACTAATAAAACAGGTTGGAATAATGCATTCATTGCAATTCAAGAATTGCCCTTCCAAACTGTAGACATTAACAAAATTAGTATGTCTAACATCTTAGCCAAAAATCCATTAAGTGGGATTTCTTTATTGCATGTGAGTTAATGGCAGACTCTTCTTCCAGATAGATTCATCAGAGCTGATATTTATGAACTCCCCTGCCTTTTTTTTTTTTTTGGGGGGGGAGGGGTGCTGGGGACTTAAGTCATTTTGGGTAGGCACATAGCAAATCAGGAACTTGCTCACAGTAGCTTGAAAATAGCAGTCAGTGCAATGTAATTTATTGAAAGTGGAGTTGCAGCTGACCCCCTCCTCCAGTCAGCATCCTCAGTAATATTATTACCTCAGTAACTACAGAGAGTTTGAACCCTCTCATTTTAAGTAGGTAACTATGAGAGATAGAAGAATTCACAAAAGAAAGCAAAGTGGAGAGTGATACCACCTTTGTGATATGCATTATCTGAAGGTTATCAATGAGGAACTAATGAATAAGCTGTCTTGTGGGTGCTAGAATTAAGGCCAAGTGGCAAAACCTCACCATTTCAATATGTTCTTCAGTCTGAAGTGTTCAGTAGTATTTGGTAATACTTTAGTGCAGCTTTGATAACATTATTTTACTATTAGCATAAATAGCAAAAATGGAATACATACCATCATAAAAACAAACTTCAACATCTGCAGTGGGTGAATTTTCCATCAACATGCACTTGGCATATCTTGTATAGAAGGTAACTTTGGGGGTTTTTGTTCTCACTAGTTGTACAAACTTCGCAGCATACTGGTATTTTTTCCAGTACTTTTCTAAAAAAATTTAAAAAATCTGTCAAGGTCTTCAGATTAAACACTGCATTCCAGCTCTGAGAAACTTAAAGCTGTATACTTATTTTACTATTACCTAAAAAGTGTGAACAATATTTAAGTGCTTTGCACTTAAGTATGCTTAAAGAAGATAAATGCTTTCAGAAAACTGATTGAAAGTAAGCTTGCATTCAATAGCTCAGAACATAGTTCAGAACCTCGACAACACACAGGAAGACACTGCAAGTCCATATAGTTTTTGTATGAAATTGCCAAACTGCAAGCTTATACTTTCTTGTAAAGTTTCAAAAACATTTTCCAGTCTTGTTATCAGAAAATAAACTTACCTGGCAAGTTGTCAAAGTTGTACACACACGTGTCTTCTGGAGGAGCAGGAGGTCTGTCATCAAGAAGGAAGCCTCTTCCTTCATTTGGATGATAAACTGCAATCTACCAAAAGAGTAGAAAAATTACATTTATAGTCGCAACTCACTGCAGCGCTCCCTATTTAACAGCTATGGAAGTCACAATTTAGATAAACTACAGCAACTTTTACCAAGTGCTGTCTTCCTCTAAGTGGTCATTGAACAGCAGCAGTTTGTAGCTATGCTTCACATAAGTGAAGTCATAGTCCTAAATCCAATCTTGAAGTAGTTGCTTGCTACCTAAATGGGTATGGCTGCATTATGGAAAAGATGAATTTATGGCTGTGTATATTTCAACATTGCTTTTTTAAAAAAATAATCACTTACGTGAAGATTAATAAAAAAATCTTCACAGACAGAATGATATTATGTACTTATTAGGACAATACAGAAATACAAAGTGCACTCACCACATTTCCATCACAAGATATTCTGAGAACTTCTTTGACAAATTCCTGTGAATGGTGTTCTTTGAGAAATTCCATACATACTTCCCCATTATCTAGAATGCTCACCTGAAACATTAAAAATACAAACTAGATAAAACAACAAAAATTAACGTTTTGGCAGGATGAGAACAACTATTTTTTTTCCCCTCCTAGCCTGCACTTCAAAGTTATAAATGCTTCTTTTGGTAACTTTTGCTCTTAGCGCTGAACAGAAGGCTTCCACACAATTCAGAGATGTAAACCTGGCTTCACATGTGGCTTCACAAGTCACAAAGCAAACCATGAGCCAGGTGAGCCGTCGCATGACCAGGGCACAACAGTATCCCACACACACAAAAACTACGATCCATCCTATTAATACAACTTTATATCAAAGATTAGGTTTTATTAAACAAGTGCTTCTCGTTTACTGAGTGATTTTAAAAAGACTCAAACTATATTTAAACTCTTTCCATTTTAAGAACCAATACATACCACTGCGTTTTTTGTTTTTTGCCTGATTGGTTTTAACCTGTGAGCACTGAGAGGCGGTACAATGCTCCGCAGCATGGGCTTCTGAGGCACTGCTTGTTCTTTGTCCCAGGCTTCGTTTTGTTCTGAAGTTGGCCGAAGACCACAAACAGAAGATGGTTGAATTTTCTCAGATTTGCAGAGAAGCCCAGAGATATATTTCTTCGGGTTTCCCTGGTTTACAGAATGTTGGCAGTCAAGTGATGTATCAGGACTCCTTATATCTTTTAAGGTGTTCCATGTGTTTCTTGATGCATCTTGCTGTACAACCCGATGATACTGAAACCCTCCGTGTGCGTTAACGTTGCCCATCATGTCTGCAGATGGTCTCAGCTGAACTGAAAGCAGCAGAGTACGTTACGCATTCAAGGAGTCACAACAAGAGAGGAATAAAAGGAAAAAAAGCTATCTGGTGTGCTTTTCAAAATAACATTTTAAAAAGCCATGAGTAGAGAATGTGATTTCTTCAGCGTTCAGTATGAATTGTTGACTATTACATCAGTACCTACCAACATCAGTACTAATAAAATTCCAGTGCTATTTAAAATACCGTGTTACAGGATGGTTCCCATTAAGGTAGCCATTAAGATGAACAGACATCAAACCATTTTGCAAACATTTATCAAAAAAGACTCCCATTTCAAATATATACTTAAAAAAGAATTAGTTCCCTTGAAAGATGGCTAACCTGCCATTGAGATAATCAACAGGACTAAGCTCTATGTAAGCTTTAGGCTTAGCAAACTGCAGTGCTTTAGCATTGACCAGCTGTTTCAGTAGATAGTTTAATGCAAACACAGAAGTCCACACCTTATAATTTTTCCACTGTCGTCTAAGAAAACAACCTGTTTCACATTAAATCGTCCTATAATTGCTGCTCTAAGCCTGCATTAAGCCTTTGATGCTTCAACCAAACAAGTAATGCACTCCTGCCACAAGAGAACAGTTGAGAAGGGACCAAATATTAGCCAAAATTGCAGTTGAAACTCTGCATATTCAAACCATGTGTCATATGGTTCCAATGCCTGCGAATCAGGAATGGGAGGAGATTAGTAATATCATAACAAAAAAGCCAAGGATTAATCTGTGATTTTAATTATTAAATTACATCGTTTGCAAGTGATGTAACATGATGCGTGGCAAAGAACCACTCCTTCCCTTCTGTGTCCTTTGTCCTTTCTTCTACCCCACCTTCTGCAGCCTCATTATCTTTCTCATTCACTAGGGCTCCATTTTCTCCTGAGGTGTATTTGCACAATTCAATAAAAGGATTTGTTGAGTCAGCTGACAGCTTTTGTCATTTATACACGCCTAGCAGCATTTCAGATCATAACTGATAACTAAGGCAGACTATGATTGCATTTTCTTTGTGCATTTGTTTTATTGCTAGAATTACTGAAAGCCAAAAGGGTGACTTGGTTTTAAAAAGCCAAGCTTTCAAACACAATGCTTCATCATTCTTCTAAAAACAGTTATATCCAGTTGGTTATACTAACCCAACAGCTCAGGATGCAGAGTATCTACAAAGCTATCCAAAATTAATTCCTGCTTTAGGAAAATGAAATCTTACAGCTTAGTCCTAAAGAGAGATCAAATCAGTGTTTTCAATGGCACATTTCTTCCTTAAGAGAGATTCCACAGACTAGTGATGCTTGAAGTCATTAGTCTTCTTTCAACATATGTCAGCTTCTCAGTGCTGCATTAATTTAGGGTCTCCTGTGCTCTTCATTCATAAAAAGCCTAAGTTGACAGTAGTTTCTATTAATATCCAATCACTATTATTTAGATGCCAGTATTATATTCCAGAAACAATTATTTTGCCATAGATACCCCTTCTGTTGCAGATATAAACGTTTACAAATAACTATTCCAACTTGAACGTAAAAAATATACAGTCAAATAGTAGCACATACCATTTGTCTGTATGGTTCCAAGCCACTGCTGCATGTTTTCGGTCTGGGACTTCTGCTCTAAGAAACCAACATGGGGCTTCATTGGGCAGAGATAATTTGAGCTGCAAAAGAATAGTTATATGTAATCCAGATCTTACTGGTGTTTGCACAATAAAAAGATATGATATCACAGCTGCAGAAACCAACAAAATCTAGAATGATTAAAAAGATGGCCTGAAACACGCTGCTTTCTAGAGTAATGCACTTCCTCCATGAGGAATGTTCCGTTGCTTTCAATAGTATTGTTCACAAGTGAAGTACAACAAAACCATCACCTCCCTGGCTAGTGAAAAAGTGCTGCTAATCATTAGTACAAGTCTGATAGCACTCGTTATTGGACTGTTAGAAGTCACTTAACCAAGGAAAACTGTTGATAAACCTGGGAGCAGTGACTGTCCTTACGTCTCGTTCTCAGTCACAGTATAGGAAATACCCTCAGACAAGACTGAGGGATGAGGCCCATCATCCCAATAGATTCACTTAGTATAATAATGCAACTGAAATATTTGGGCAGTCTTATTACTTACAGTAATTTGAGTTTATGTAAATATAGTAAATTGCAAGAATATATGTAAAAGATTTTTTCAGGTTTATTTAGAGTGTGGTGCATAAATTGGCACAGGCAAACTTGAGATATAAGCCTCTTTTTTGGCATGCATTTTTTTCCATATCTGTGAAGTCTTAGGGAATACCAAAAAGCATTACATTAACATTTGTATAAATTGTTTCTTTTTAATTCAAACATTTATTGAACTAGATGCAACGAAATACATATACTCATTGAGCTTGTTGAGTCTTACATAACACATCTGCAGACAGTCAATAAAGAAACCTTTTACTCTTACTCCTCCTACAAAACAAAATGCTTGCTTGCATTTTTACTGAGAAGATTAGCAATAAAAGAAAAAAAATGCAACCATCATCCACAGTTGACACTTGTTAGCATGGAAGAAAATGCAAGAACTGCCATATAATTAAATAGGATAATGTTATTTGATATTCTATTTATGGAAAAAATAATACAGTTTCTAAGCGTACACATATTAAGTGCACCACAAGGAATAGTTCTTGTTGCATAACATTACACAAAAAGCAAGATCAGGCCTCCAACAATACAGAAAAAAAATCTCAGTATGTCTTGTAAGGTTTGACATTAGAGAAAGTTCATCAGCATGAGGAGATGCAAGGATTTTTATTCACAGACTACAACTAAGGATAAAACTTGGTTTCAGGTAGTTGTTTTCTTCAAGAGTAACTTTCTCTTTTTGGCACAGTGTTGTCAGTTTTTAAACCACCACCTAATCCTATACTTCATTAATTTGTTCTTTACCTTGTCTAGGGATAAAACTAAATGAATTGGGAAAAAAAATGCTGGGGAGGGAAATGAGTAAGTAGCAGAGTATTATTGGAATGAAGAAAAGAGGTAGTTAGCTCAGATTGCATTCATGAATTGTGTGATAGGGGCATAGGGAGGTAGACTTCTACACATCTACAACAATTATTATCTTTGCTTATTTGGTGTTCAGACTAAAAGCTGAGACTTGTGGAATTTACTACAGCTTAGTCCTGCAAGAACTATACATTGAGACAGCTTTAAGTTTTGCCTTAATAAAAAGAAATGATTCTTACTGTGGCTGGTCTTTCACAGGTGGAGACGTTTGTCCTTCAAAAGAACCAGAACTACTTGAAGTCTTCTCCCTAAATATTTCTCCCATATTACTATAGCTGTTTACAGGTGAAAAGCATTCCAGGTTTTCCCTTGTTCCTGTTCTAGGCTTGGAAAGCAGTTCCAAGGAGTGACATCTCTCTGCAACATTTGCCATTCCTTGAGGCTGACTATGGGATGCGCCAGATCTATCAGAAGAATGGGCTCGTCGGAGATAGCGTGAATGTGGCCGCTCTTCAGCGAGTTGCATGGCTCTTCCCCTGCCAGGTAGGCTCATTCCCTTTCCTTGAGCTCCCCACTGGTTACAAGAACTGCTTCCATCTATGGATGAAGAGTTGCTGGAATTCTTATTTTTAGGAAAAAAAGTAATTTTATTTGGAAGGGGTTGTCCAACTAATAACTTCTTTTTTTCCTTCAAGCAGCCACTGGTACTGATGCTAGAAGAGCCCGTAAAAGTGGTAGAGATTGTAGCATTTCCACTGTCCATAGAATCCTCTGAAGTTCCCGAATCTTTATTCCGCGCAGAGTTGCATCGGGACATAAAAGGATGATCCAGCACAGAAGAAAGGCTCAAGCGATCGGCTGGATTTTTCCGGAGTAATTTATGTATAAGGTCTTGTGCCTCTCTTGACAAAAAGGCTGGCATTTCATAATCTGCTAATACCACTTTATTTAGTGTGTTCTTGACTGTGTCAGTGTCAAAAGGTGGCTTTCCAATCAGAAGAGTGTAAAACATACAGCCCAAAGACCACACATCAGATTCAAGTCCATGTGGACTCCTTGTGGCTATCTCTGGAGAAATGTAATTCGGAGTTCCGCACATTGTATAATGCTTCTCATGGGGCATTTTCAGCTGAGTTGCTAGTCCAAAATCAGCAATTTTCACATTCATATT